CACCCCCTTTTCCATTTGGTACCCCGAGCCTGCCTTTCCACTCAAGATGTAGAGATACACGAGAAACGTCAAGAGCGAACAGAGAGAAAGCTCAGGTACCCGCACAACGCTGCTTCCGAAAGCCCGCCTGTGGCCTGGCTCTGCCAGAGACATCCAGGGTGGTGCCTGGGAAGAAACACCTCAGGGGCCCCGGGCCCGAGCCCTTCACGCCAACCCCAAAACCTCCGCAGGCGGGGCCCAGGAATCCGCATCTTAAACAGACGTTCAGTTTGGAGCCACGGGCTCGGTGGGAAACCAAACAGCAAGACGAGCTCTCGCTCTTACAGCCACTTCTCATCCCAGGGAGTCTGTGTGGGGTCAGTTCAACGTCAAGGTTGCACCACGGTTGAGTTTCTTTCCTCGAGGGCAGGCATCCACACAGCACTTACCAAGCTGCTGGTGTGCAATAAATATTAAACGGTGTGATGATTCACCAGCAGGCGAGAAGCTTACCGCGTAACCAAACAGAACTCGAGCCGGGGCCAGAAAAGGATCGCGCAGAACCCAAATGCCTTCAAGACCTTCTGACCCACTGCCCCATGATGGGGAGCAGGGAGGGGGGGCCACGGGAAACCGGGAGAGACAACGGGCAGCAAAGCAGGGGACCTCCTTCTCCTAGACCCATCCCAGGAGGCAAAAGGAAACCACCACCAACGTCTACTAAATTCTGGACCATGAGCTCCCGGCTCAGGGGGAGCCTGAGCCGCAGGACAGCACAGGCTGGAGACCCCAAGTTCTCACGCAGGACTAGACGCTGCAGACATCCTGGGTCCGTCGCTCACTCGAACCAGACCCTCTGTGACTCCTGCGTCCCTCCCCACGGACCAGGCCGCAGGGCCTTTCCTTCCCGAGCTGGCCGCTCTGTCCCCGGCAGGCAGTTAGCTCCACCTCCCGGCCAACCTCAAGCCCACCCCTCCTGAGGCCAGACTGCTCTGCCTCCTGCAGAAAACCCCAAACTCGGTGGCTAAAAGCAGAGCAGAGAACCACAGCCCAGCCTCCCCTCATCTGCACCTCACCCCCAAACGCCCAGAGCGAGGTAGCTCTCTGCCTCCTTCTGCAGCCTTCCAAGGCTTTCCATGAATTTCACTTCAACTTCCCACCCCCCCCAGAACAAAAGGCTTTTTCAGAGCTGTAATAACACTATTATAAACCCAAGCTAATTCCAGAGCAGTGGGTTTCACCTGGGGTGATCCCGCACCCCTCCACCCCACCCGGGGGGCACCCGCCAACGTCTGGAGAGGCGTTCGGTGGTCGCGACTGGGAAGGGGAGGTGATGCTAGTACGGAGTGGGTGGGGCCGGGGACGCGACACAACTCCCACGAGGCCCAGGAAGGCCCCGATGGAGACAGAGAATGATCAGAGACAGAGAATGATGGGCCGGAGGTGAACAGTGTCAAGGGGGAATGAGCCCTTCCTCCTCGCCTACGGAGCAAGCTCAGACCACCTCCGGTGTCCGGCGTGTGTAAGAGCCCCGCATGACGTGGGCTCGGCAGTCACCACGCCAGCCCCTCTCCACCCCCAGGTACTCACCAGAGGGGCGCTGTAGCTGGCGTGGGGATTGTTCTGGATCTCCCACAGTCCTTCATTGAAGCCTTTCCTCTTGTTGGGTTTCCCGTACTTATCTTTACATTTGTCGTAAGGGAACAGGTCCTTGGGGCCCAGGAAGGCTCTGGAGAAGGGAGGCACGGGGCCAGTCCCGGGTGAGTCAGGCCACCCAGGAGGCACCAGGGGGGACGGTCAAGCCCCACCTGGGGACACTTACGTTTCGTGTGTACCAAAGAAGAAGATGGGGTACTTGTTGGGCGGGGGCTTCACGGCACCGTCGGCGATGTCATCGATCTGCAGGGAGACGCTGGTCAGGGGGTGGCTGTGGGGGGCAGCGTCACCCCCTGAGCCAGGAAATGGCCGAGACATCAGCCAAGTTACTTGGGGAAAGCATATGCTGGGAGAAAGGGAGCCTTCAGCTGAGGGAGACAGGGCTCGTTCCGGTTAGGCATCTGCATTCCTCTGCGTGACCCCCCCCCCC